TGTGTGCACTCGGACTCACCCTGTCGAATTGTGGGAAATGGTAGACGCCGTTTTGGTCGCAGCCGCGCGATGCGGCGGCGCACAGCTGGTAGAAGATGTGGAAGCTGCGCTCGCCCTCCTGCTGGTCCACCACTCGCACCTTCTCCAACAAATACGTCTGGATCCGCGCGCCGCACAACCTGCACACACCACCGGTGACACACAAATGAATGCATCACTCACTGCCTGCCTGTCTGCCGGTGTGTGCGTAACTGACCTGCCCTTTTCGATGCCCTCCTGGTCGGTCTCTATCTTGAACTGCAGCTCAATGAACTTCCCGAAACGACTCGAGTTGTCGTTGCGAAGCGTCCTGCACACACACATACACGGCCGCACGGACAATGCTGCCTGCTGCTGTGCGTGTGGTGTGTAGTGTGCTGTCTGTCTGTCTGTCTGACCTGGCGTTGCCGAAAGCCTCCAGCAGTGGGTTGGACTCGAGGACCTGGCTCTCGACTGTGGAAGTGTTCTCCTCGCTGCCGCTGCCGGCCAGCGCCAGGAACTTCATGACAAACTTGGTCGTCTCCGTCTTGCCCGCACCACTCTCACCACTAATCAGAATCGACTGATAGATTCAGACAGCACACACACCACATACACCATGGATGGATGGATGGATGGTGCCGATTGGCTGACCTGGCTCTTTTTGCGATCGCATATACCCCGGTAGGCACTGTTGGCCGTCGAGAAGACGTGAGGGATCTTGGACCGAACTGGAAGCACGAACTGCCGCAGCGTCTGCAGGACCGTAAACAACACACGGACACAAGCATTGATGTATGTGTAGCGAGGAGATGCGGCCTCCTTTGACCGCTCGCTTGGCTGATTGCCCGCCCTCCCTTGATCGCTTACGTCATTGTCATACATGCCGGGAATCATCTTGAAGGGGTTGACGGCGATCAGGATGGGCCCCGTGAACGTGTAGATCTTGTCGATATCGAAGCGCACATTGAGCGAGTTGAGCACGGCCGCCTCGTGCAGGTGCGTGAGCTGCGTCAGGTCGTCGAGAGCCACCAGCCCCTCGCTGTTGAACTGCTCCGTGTTGCGCAGGTATATGGGCTCGGCCTTCTTCAGCACGATGGTCTCCCCCTCGTTGTCCCGCACCGTCACGCCCGTGTCGGCCACGCTGACGATCTCCGCCTGCCGCCATACGTCCTCTTCGCAACGGATCCACACCTCAGTCCCCTCGGCCAGACGCTCCGACATCACGGCTGCGATGAGAGAGGGGTATACGCCGGCAGGCCGCCGCTGGCAGATCTAGATATCTAATGAGGCCGGCTGCAGAGGCACGACTAAGGCGGAGGCAATAGATGGTCGTCGAACACGGAATCGTCTCGACGAGCTATAGTGGCAGTTGAAGGGCTCATTCAGGTGTGGCAGAGTTGCGCCCTTCCACGCCCTCCTGCAGCCATCTCCCCGCGCCAAATTCGCCGGATCGATAGGGTCAAGGGTTTGAAACTTATAGGGTTTGACTGTGGGGGGCAGAAAGGTGGGGAGAGGCCACAGACCGGAGGACGCACACGACGACTCGGAGGCCATGATGGACTCCGACGACCAGCAGCAGCAGCAGCAGCAGCAGGCCGCGGCATCGCAGGTCACGCACAGCGTAGATTTGGAGGCGTTTGCTCAGCGCTGCAGCCAACTCGTAACATGCACCAAACGAAACCACTGGCAAACACATAGATCTTCATTGTGTCCTCTGTGTGGCGTGTGTTGTCCACTCAGCCTGTTGTCGTTGCCTACGTCTTCTCGTTCGTGTCGCTTCATTTGGTGGCGGCGCTGCCCCAGCGGCTGTGGCGCCACGTCGGCTGCCAGATCACCCAGCTGGTGATGGACACCTACGACACGGCCGAGCGGCGCTTCTGGTGCGGCCTGTCGTTCAACGACGCCCTCGAGTGGGGCCGGCGGCTCAAACGTCTCAGCTCCATTGTCGTCGAGTATCCCATGTGCCTCCACGTCCCGACTGTGACTCCCGCTGGGCGGCTGTCCGCTAATGACAGCTTGACTCTGCTGCCGCGGATGAGCAACAAGGTCGTCACGGCATTGGTGGAGGGGCACATTCAGGGACGGAGAGCCGCAGCGGCAGCGGCGGCGGCAGCGACCAGGCAGCCGGCGGGCAGCACATTGAACTCGATAGACATCAGCAGGAAGGAGTGCAGCATAACCGTCGAGAAGGATGAGTATCGCAACATCAGAGCTGCGACAGAGCAGTCGTCGGCCCTCCCCCCGCCCCTCGACCCGCCCCCCATTCTCCAGTCCCTCGAATCCATCACAGCCATCATTCTCCCTCCCATCCCGGGGACTTTAGTGTGTCCCGGCCGCGGGCGCCACTGGCAGCTGCCGTCACTCGAGACAGTCCACGTGCCAGGGACGGTGCATTGCAATGTCGTGTTGGCCGACATATTGGGGGAGCTGGTGGGGACGTCGCGGTGCCTGAAGGACCTGCACGTCGAATGCACTCCTGTCGCCATGCGGCGCACGCTGAGGCACATCCCCACGGCGGCTGCTGGCCAACCGGGGCCTCTGGCGCAGCTGGAGTACATCGGGACCCTCAGGATGCCGAATGCTTGGGCTGCGGGTCTGGAGGATCTTCAGGTATGCGATGAACCACACGAGGTACACACGGCCAGAGAGGGAGGGCCAGAGCTTGCTTGTGAGTTGCGTGTGTCTTTGTGCAGGACGTTCTCGTCGACCGTGGCTGCCGCTCCATCAAGAAGCTCGACATCGATTTCGGCACCGCTGGGATCGACAGCCGCATCTTCGAGACCCTCTTGACGATCGAGGCCTTCACCAATGCCGTGTGTGTGAAGCCCGACATTCCCATCGACATCGATTGTGCGGTCCACAGCTTTGTGAGCGCAGCCCCCCCCCTTCGTCCAGAAACACATCAAGCAGCTGGCCGCCCACACACGCTGGGCGTCCTTCACCATCCATCCCCACCACCTCACCACCCCACTCGACACACCCAGCAGCGCTGTCATCGACCTCGCAGAGCGCCTGACATTCCCCAACGCGCAGTACGTGTCGGTGGTGAACCACCCTCGACATATTGCGCCCCACGAGCAGCCCGATCCAGTGGTGCTCGACAGGATGCCAGATGACGCATTCCCTGCCGCGTCACTCCTGACGGTGGACAGCAACAAGGGCCATGCGGCTGGGCGAAGGCTGGTGGCCAAGATGCCGGCAGTCGGAACCATTAAGCTGACCAACCCAACAGAGGAGCAGGCTGTGGGGGTGCTGCAGGCGGTGGGCGGGGAGAGGGGCCTGGGATGGCTCCTTGCCACAAGCGTCAAGGGGGTGGGCGAGGGGGGACTCACGTGCGGGGACATAGCGGATCAGCTGCCGACTATCAAACGGCTGGACCTTACTGTAGAAGGTGAGCTGCCAACAATCGCCACCATTCACATACCAGCCCATCGGGTGTTGTGTATGCCTGTCTGTGTCGCTGCAGTGCCTGAGGCCCTGCGTGATGAAGATGCTGTCGGCGAGTTCGGCATCGCGTGCGTCAAATCGCTGCTCAAGATCCGAGGCGTCGAGGAGCTGACCTTTGAGCTGCGATTTGCCCCGCTGTGCCGACCTGGACGACATTACTTCAAGCGGGTCGTCGAGCAGACGCACCGCAACACCATCGGCGGGATTGACGGCCGCGAGTACGACATCAGCTGGGGAAGAGATGAGAAACTCATTCTCAAACAGCGTGACACCTAATAGAAGACCACAGGTACGCACGGGCGGTCTGGCTGTCCTGCGTCCATGGAATGAACGTCCTGCAGCGGTGGTTTCATGTTTGTTTGGTTGGTTGGTCCTTTGGCTGTTTGTCTCTTTCTTTGTTTGTCAGGTCGGCCGGGCCCATCGACAGCTTGCTGATGTGTGTGTAGGATAAGTTGCAGAGAGAGGGAGGGGTGGGGAGGGCTGCCACGATGCCCTCATGCGTGACTGGCTGATGTTCGGTGGACGAAGAGCTGCATGGTTCGTTCATCGGATGGATGGATGGATGTCTGCGTGTGCTGGACTTGTACAGACGCACAGAGAGAATCAAAGGGTCAGTCAGTATACATACGGCCGTGACGGTCGCATTCGCTCTCATTGCTGCACAACTATCGAACCGCATTCATCCATCCATTCCGGTCATTCTTCGCATTTGCATCCATTGACGCTTTGCACTCCAGCACACTGCCTAAACCCTTTCCCTGGTGGAGTCCATTGCAATGCATTGACTGGCAGGCACTGATTCTTTCGATGCCTTCATTGCTGTGCGTATCTGAATGGGCGCGTCGGTGCGTCTGTGTCGGTCAAATCACACTGGATATAGAAGCACCCTGCAGTGCCGGCTTCTCTCGAGAAGCCAACCCCCGCAAGAATGCGGTCAAAAAAAGGCAATTACGGCTCCATCGACAAGTCAGTCGACGATAACGTAAGAAAACTCTCCCTTGATTTGTGTGCAGCACATGCACACACACACAGTGCACTCACTGCATGGATGGGTGGGTGGATGGACGCACGTGGGTCTCATGCGCTCTGTCTGTTTCATTCATCGTCGCGCATGTACAAGAACATCAGAACACACCACTCACTCAGTGACTAGCACCCACAGCCACATATTCCCCCCGGCCGGCCCAGACACAGAGAGATGTGCAAGTACACACCACGGACGGCGCACAGACGGAGGGAGGGAGGGAGGGAAAAGTCAATCATGCATCGTAGCCAGAAAGACATGAAGAGGAGACGCCACTAGTGAGTGTTGGGGTCGTTTTCTTTTGTCTCTCCATGATACGTGTGGGTGGGTGGGTGCAAAATGGTGTGCCCTCTTTGTCTCTGTCTCTGTGTCGGTGTGAAGTGTATCAGGAGTGTCTGTCTGTCTGTCTGCCTCGGGAGGCAAGAATCAGCAGTGGGTGAGTGAAGAGTGAATTGGCATGGCATGCACACACATCATGTGGGACAATGGATCCACCCATCCGTCCATCGAGCAATCATCGAGGGCACCGACCGCTAGATACACAAACAAATACAGAGAGTGGAAAAACGTACGGCGACACACAGCACACCAGACATAAAACACCAGACAGCGAGCGAGCCACACCGCACCGACAGGGGTGTCAGTCAGCAGCTCATGAGAGAGTGAATTGGTTGGGGTCGGTCAGTCGGTCGATCGATGCAGGAGCAGTGAGGAGGGCTCAGATCTTCCGTGCGGGCTTTCTCTGCAGTTCGGATGCATGCCTGCTCTACCACATTGCCGTAGTCCCACATAGGACCGGGGACATCGACAATGGCGAGCGCGACACACACCATAACCGCCGAGAAATAGGCAGGAGAATCTTGACACAGATCACAATTACACTTCCGACCGATCATCGCATGTCGTGCGTGAGGTGACCTCGCCTGTCCGCGAGTCAAGACAAAAAGGCAGGTTCAAGCAGATCGAGTGAGCGGCTGCGCTGTGTACGTGAGCGTACAAGAGTGAGTGAGTTGTATACACACACTTTGTGGGCTTGGCTTGCAGCAACTAGACGAGTGAGTAGGCAAGTAGGTGACCTTAGTAGATATGTAATGGATTGAGGCTAGCCAGAGACCTGTTGTTCGATGGATGGATGGATCGATGGATGCATGAGCGAGGGCGGCACATTCGCCGTACGTACGTGTATACCAATACCTAGAGTACTCAATCGAGCGACCGTACATCATGATCAATGACACGCTTGCTTTGACCTGTCTGTCTGTCTTTTCTTCCATCACAGGCAGATGGATAGATACATAAACAAATGTGGGCCGGGCGGTGGCCATGGCTGGGCTGACGACCTTTCTGACGTGCGTCTGTCGGAAGAGCCAGCCGATTGTACACACATACACACACACATACACATACAGATATGTATATGAAGAAAGACCTATATACGTATACGTACGTATGGATACCTTTGTACCTGCCTGCATTCCATTCATGACATGACATGACATGACACCTGGGTACCTGTATTCCATGCCATCCAGTCATGCATGCCGGTTTCACACATAACACACACACACGTGCGTGCAACAAACAGACCTACTTCTCACAAACGTACCCACCCCCCCCAATGCAATCACGCATTCACCCACTCATCTTTTCCACCCTCCGTCTCTCTCTCTCTCTCTCTGTTTCGCTGGTTAAATAGCTAGTCAGGTCCGCCGTGGTTTGCTGTGCCGTGCCGGCCACGCACCACACACACGGCATGGCCGGCCACACACATGGCACATATACATACATACACACAAACAGGCGAATGACGTATGTCGTAAGTGTCATAGCTACGTCGGCTGGAGGTCGGTCCGTCCGTCTGTCGGCAGGCAGGTCGCCTCGTGTGGAAAAAAGGGGGGCGAGGAGACAAGGAGAGAGGGAGGACAAGGACACTCACTCACTTACTGCCGACAGGAAAACGGCGTGGCATGACATGACATGACGTGGGGTGGGGTGTCTTCGGTCGAGTCATGCACATGCACGCAGCCGACCAGCCAGTCAGCCAGCCACGGACTTCTTTCATTTCTCACAGGCATGCAGGCAGCCAAGCGTCCAGATGCACAGACACGTGTGTGGGAGCAAATGTAGCAGCCAGCCAGGCGGTTAGACGACCAGACAGACAGACAGACAGACAGAGAGGGCAGCAAATGGATGGATGGACGCATTGGCAGAGAGCATGAGTGAAAAAGACGCACCAACACGCCACGCACGCATCCGGACGGAAGAGAGACAGAGATATAGACGGGAGGGAGAGGGAGAGAGAGAGAGAGAGAGAGTTGGCCACCATCAAACACACGCACCGGTGACTGAGTGAGTGGATGAATGTACGCACACGCGACGTTAGGAAACGCCATTTCAGCATGACCTTTTGTGGCTTACTTACTCCTTTCTTAATAACCCACGATCGGCCTACCTAGTCAGTCAGTCAGTCATGGACACACACATGTGACGCCGTTCGCACGCACTAAACACTCTCACTCCCAACTCAAATCGCCTGCCTTTCACCTTTAGTACGCAGGTGTTCCTCTCCTCCACCCATGCATTCACCAACCCACCCAGCCACCGAGGCCTCCAGAGAGAGATAAACCTACCTAGGTTGACAAGACACCTTTCCTACCTTCGTAAGTGACACCACAAAACCGCCAAGGACGGGGAGGGAAGGAAAGCAAGACAGACAGACAGGTAGGTGGGGTGGGGTGGGGCATCGGTCGATCTGCTTACCTGACTCAAGGACGGACCGGACTCACACACAACAATACGTTAAGGGATAAAACGTATAGACGCATACACGTGTACACGTGTACGCGTAGAAAGAAAGGCGGACAGAGAGAGAGAGAAAACACCGAAAGCGATACATACAACGCAATCGATAGAATCGATACCATAGGCACTTAGGTCATAGCTGCTACAGCTCGACGTCAAAACGACCAAGCGACACCCACCCCGCCACACCCAACCTTCCCCCTCGCCCATTTGCTCGCCCCACCCACCATTTCTCCAGCCACCCACTCCACTCACTCGGGCAGATGAACCCGATGTCCATTTGGATTGTTGGTTGCCGGCCGGATAAATATGCACCACACGCACGCAGGCAGGCAGGCGGCAGGCAGGCAGGGAGGGATGGACATGAACGAACCAATACACAAAGGCACGCACACACGTACACAAACACATACACAGGAAAGGAAGGCTGGGCGGGTAGATAGCCGGTGGCGGACAGAACCAACGAAGAACGAATGAATTACGCTATCGGATGCATGTCGGTCGGTCGGTCGGTCGGTCGGTCAGTTCCGTCACCTAGACTAGGCAAGAAATGTAGACAGAGACAAGGAAGCCAGGGAGGGAGGCAGCGAGGGAGGCAGGCAGCCAGTCACTCAGTCACTCAAACGAACGGGCGGGCGGGTACACGCCCTACTCACGTATACATACATGTCATGTAGCTTTGTATGTATGTATGTATGCGCAAAACACACAGACAGACAGACAGACAGGGGAGAAAGGGTGCGGTGCGATATGACGAGACCAAGCCGTGACGGATGGATGGCGTCACCCCTCACTCCGTGTCTGCAGCCCGCCCACGATCCTTTTGGAGCATCTCGCTCTGGAGGTGAAATGCCCCTGCAAGATCGCGCTCGACAAGCAGACACAGCGTGAACGGCCACCACTGGCTGTGCGATAGGTAGGACTCAGTCGACCGAAAGGACGAGAAGGATGTACAGACAGACAAGTAGAGAAGTAGGCAGCCCCTCGGCAGGCAAAACAGAGCGCAGTATTTACTTACAACAGCGCCCGATCAGTCAGTCAGCCATGCAGCCATGCAGCCAGCCAGCCATGCGCCCGCCCCTCTTCCATGCGCAAGTAGAGGGCATACGTCGCATTTGTTGGCCTCGCCTGCCCGACCACTTCTGACGAGACCAGCTCGCGCACACGCCTAGTCCTCCAAAATGGCGTTCACGACTGCACACAGACATACAAACACACCACTTTGAAGACGCCATCATGGTCCTCTCTCTGTGTGTGCGATTCTTCTCACCGTCGAGCACCACATGGTCCGGCTGCAGCAGAGGGCTTTGGCCAGTACCCTGCCTCACCATCACCCCCGCACTCCCACCACCAGCAGCACCAGCACCTCTGGGCGCCTTCTGTATGTCCCACTGGCACATGAACGACCCCCGGAGGTAGTCCTCGTCGCACTCGTCACCACCCTTGTGGCTCGAGTGGGCGAAGAAGGCGCTGGCCGGGCCAACCACCGGGCACGCCGGGACCATCGAGGCCGACTGTGGTGTCGATGCGTGTGTCGAGTCGCTCTCGGATGCGTCGAGGATCGTGCTCGTGCTGCTCTCCCTGCGTCCGCACTCCCACACACTCACGCCGACCGTGGCCGCTTTGCCGTTGGCGTCAGTTGTTGGTATCTGCGCGTGTGTGGGTGTGGTGGCGTAGAGGAGCGCGAATGTTTGGCTGGCCTGCGTGGATGTGGTCGATGCAGAGGAGGGGCTGTTGCTGTGGTGATGCTGGTGCTGGTGGGTGAGGGGAGCGGGTGTGTGCTGGGCGGTGATGGCCTTGCCCGCGGTGCCGATGGTTGTGATGGTGGTGGTGGTGGGGTGCGGGATGAGTGTGCTGAGTAGTGGCGGGGGCTTCTTGGGTGGTGGTGCCCCAGGGTGGGCCTGCTTGGTGGCCTTGTCCTGCCCCTTGGACTCGCGGTAGTCACGTGCCAGGTGACGCTCCTGGGCGGTGGCACGGTACCTGAACCAACGACACACCACCAATGCAATGAAGCCACGCAGGACGGCCGGCCAAAACGCTGTGCTGTGCTGTGGTGTGCTGCGCTTACACTCTGGGACGTCGGTCGGCCTCCCCGTGTGCGTGTCGGCATGATTCGCCGTACGGGCAAAACCCTACTGGCAAAACACGCAGACACACGCAAATAAACAAGCAGACACACCCACGATTGAGGGTCGAGCGGACACATAACTGGTGAGCGTCTGCTTCCCTGTGTGCTGACTGACCGTCTTGCCAGTTGTGGCAGGGTTTGGTCTTGTAGTAGTCGGGCGTGACGCGCAGCTCGCTCGCCCCGTGCGCAAACTTGCAGTCCTTGTTGCCACACGCGCCCTTCAAATACGCGTCACAGATACTGATAGCAACCAACACACACACACGTGTGACAGGACAGTGGACCAGCCATTTGTTTCTCTTGTGTCTTGTTTGTGCGGCATCTGGCCACCCACCCACCTTGTTTTGGCGAGGTCCGGCAGCGTGCGCAGCTCCGCCCGGCTGTGTGCGTAGTTGCAGGCGAGGCCTTTGTTGCACCGCTTGCGCTTGAAGAAGGGGCACAGCTTGGTCTTGTACCACTGATCCACCGGCCGGCTGCTCTCCAAACTGCCACCTCCACCTCCACTAGTAGTGCCACTGCCACTGCCCCGCCGCTCCACAGCACCACTGCCGGTCACAGCTGGTGTCAGCGGCAGAGGGGCCATGATGGTGGTCGTCGTGGTGGCTGTTCTTCCTCCACGGCTAGACGGCACGGGGCCGCCGTCAACCTCCCGAGCCAGGCACAAAGCCACCATCTCGCCTCCTCCAAATCCGGCTTAGCTCGCAGGTTGAGCTCGGAGCATTAGCGCGATTGACTTCATCTCAAGGCAGGGCGGGAGACCTATAGATGGGACAGTCAGGAGTATCGACCAAAACCACCGAATGACCGAATGTCATAGTGTTTGAAAACACATGCAGACCCAGCAACCAACGACTGACACACAGTGAACAGTCTTCTCCCCTCCCTCCCTCCCTCCCTCCCCTTAAGCAGTCACTCTGCAGAGACTCCCATCAGCCAGTCAGTCAGTCCCACACGCGCGTCCTGCGCACTTGGATGTTGTAGTCCTTCTCCAGCTTGGACTGTATCTGCAGCCTGTCAGACTCATTCAGCAACTGGACGCGACTACTGCTGCCCTCCGGGAGCGACTGCAGCGCCTTCATGGTCTCCTTGACCCAATCCTGCATGCTGCTCTTGGCCTTGCCAATGCACAGCAGTTTCTCCAACACGTACCCAGAAATCTCCTCCTGACCACACACCCAGGTAAACACAGGCAACGACGCACATGGCCACGAATGTCCATCACCCCAGTACCCACGTGCAGGAATGCATCGGCGCGTTTGCGGAAGTTTTGTGACAGCACAGCGTTGACTGAGTCGGGCTTCATGGTGTGCAGCCGCTGCTCTGATGTGGCGCTCGTGGCGGGCGGATCGTGAATGTCTGCACGCAGGATGCCGCCCTCCTTGACAGCTCGCTCGTGCAGGGAATCGAGCTCGAAGTAGAGGCACAGGATGCAGCCCAGCGACAGAAGGCAGCCGTAGTAGGTGCGGAAGTGCACTGCGTGATCGCGGAGCCCCTCGTACACATTGGCAAACGTCTCCCGCTCCTGAATGGACACATCAGAAGGCCGGCCGGCCGGCAGGCAGGCAGGCAGGGGGACAACATGAGGATGTGTAGACAGATGCAGTGGATTGTGTTACTAACTACTACGTGCCTTTTCGAAGAGGGGGGCGAGTTTGTGCAGCTCCTGGCACCGGTGGTGGGTGAGGAACAGCAATAAGTCCTGTGTCGTCAAGTCCTCCCAACGTACCCTCTCGCCCGCATCCCTCCGCTTCTTCGACGCCCTCGACGGCGACGATCCCCCTCTCGACGACTCCGCCGCCTCAGGCTCGTCAGCATTCTTTCGTGGCAGGCCACGCTTGCCCTTCCGCTTGGGCAACGGTGCAGGAGCGGCCGCAGCAGCGGCGGCGGCCGAAGCAGCAGGAGGTTCTGCTGCTGCTGCTGCTGCTGATGACGTCGCATCATGCTCAGATGCGGGCGGAACGGACGCTCCGAAGGAGGAGGAGCCGCCAGCATCAGTCCGTGGTCTGCTGTTCTTCCTGCCGCCCCTCCTGCGGGATTCTCTCCCTTTCTCGATCTCGTCTTGGGTCAGGATGACGTCGTCGAGAGATGAGTCGAGTAGGGGGCTGGTCGAGAGAGCGTCCCAGAGGTTGTCAGTCAGAGACTCCCGACGGAACACCCTGAACATCACACACACACACACACACACATGACACAGGGGACCTTATGCACATCCTTTGTCTTACTTCACCCACTCACCCGAGTGCGAATGGCGTGTGTGTGCCCTTGATGTGCACCTGGTGCAGCAGGACCAGATCGAGGGAGTAGACGTTGATGCAGTTGTTGGCCTGGGTCGCGTCCCTTCTCGCCGGCAGCACCAAATGGGAGGTCTCCTCCCTCCCCGTGTCTACAACCACCATGTCGTCCGTCTGCATGCACGTTGGCAGGCTCTCCTTCCCCTCAGGGCGGCTCTTGCCCAACGCCCGACTCTCCCAGCGTGGGTAGAGCGGCTGGTTGAGGTCGCTCACAAAGCGTCCATAGGGAGGCGGCATACTGCGGGTAAGCTTTGTCGGGTGGTTGGATGGTGGTGGCTCAGAATGAGGGGGCTGCTCGGCTGACTCGTCGTAGCGAAAGCGGCGCAGCCGCTGCTCAGCCAGCAATCCACCGGTGGCGACAAAGAGGTACTGACGCTCCCTGCCCTGACGAAACAAAACACACATGACATGATTCGCGAATCGAACCCACATGGACGATTTCAGTCTCTCTCGGCCGATCCTCACGGACCTTGTGGTAGGTTGCGAAGGACGTTATCTGCAGCGCCTCCTCAAAGACCACATCGTATGTGGTTTCGATTGTGATGTTGGTGCCGCCCAGCAGCGGCAGCACCCTCATCTGTGCCCTGCTCTCCTGCGGAGTTCCCCTCTGGAAGTCTCCCATCAAGACCAGCAGCCACAGGGCGTCTTCCGCATCCACAACACGCATCGTACTAACCTTCCCCTCCTCCTGAATGAACGCACACAGCCCAGCCAGCGAGCGAACAGCGAACAGTCTGAAAGTCCACCCATGTGTGTGTGTCATGCATGCACTCATACATGCAATGCAGCTGTGTGGCCGGGCCGACTCACCAGTGGCCAGCACTTGATGTTCCTCTCCACATGTCCCACAAGGAAGGAGGCCGAGCCATCGGTGTCCATATCCACCCTGCCCTTGGTGAGGTAGGGAATGCCCTTCTGGCGATTGCCAACGTGTTGGTACGCCAGACACATGATGCCGGCTGACCCACTGGAGCCGGCAATCACCTCGACCATGCACAGCGGCTCCTCTGACCCGCCGATCTTGTTGACGGCCTCTCTGCCGATCAGACTGCCGCTCTCATCGGTTGAGAAGACCGCTGACCGTGACTCAAGAGTCTGGTGCCAAAGGGCACAGACAAGGGCGTCATGCCGGTCGTCGTTGTCGTCATCATCATCATCGTCACCACCGGGGTCTGCCCGCCGAGCCAGCGAGATCGGTCCAAAGGGGAAGTTTCCCGACGAGGGCGAGCGGACGGGGAAGTCCACGGATGCACCAAACCGCCCCGCGCTGTAGCCACAGAAGGTCGGGTCATAGGCGGGCAGCAGCGTCAGCAGACCAATGCCCTTTTCGGTGCGCAGGGCCGCCACCAAGATGTCGGACGGCTTGAAATCGACGTCATTCCAATCAGGCTCATCGTCGAACTCTCTTGAGCCCTCAGGCTCCTCGCCTTCCACTTCCATAAGCGCATATCAGAACTCCCCGAACTAAGCTTGGAAGAGGCCGCTGTCGAGAATTCGCGCGCTTGAGGCTCGGAGGTTTGAGGACGTTTCGTCCGGTACCGTAGGATCCCCCAGCGGAGCGTGAGCGGTGAGGGCTCACGGGATCCTGGATCTGCCACACGCGAGCTGCGAGCTCGCGTGTGGATCGCGCCTCCTGATGACGCAATAACCAACCGACGCCTTTTGGAGAGGCGGCCACAACACCGTGGACGCGTGATGTTCGTGGTGATGATGTTTTTGATCTTGGGCGGAGGCTCGAATTGCGGCCGAGTGGACTCCCAGCGGACTTCTCTCTTCTTCGTGCCTTTCCGGTGCATCGGGGCACCGAC